AGGGAACAAGAAATGTTGCTTTGGAAACTAGCTGAAATAAAACAAGATTAAAAAAAATATTTCTTTAGATCTTAAAAATAGATAAATAATATAAAAATTGTTCAATTTCAATTATTTTCATGGTGTTTTATGGTTTTAGTTTTAGTTAACTATAATAACTGTTATTATCAATTTTTATGATTTTTTTTCAGGTTTGATAAATAGAAAATTTCAATTTTATTTGAAATAGATTTTTTTATTAATTATAAATGTCTTTACTATTTACTTTTGACCAATATAAAGCATCACTGCTGAATAAAAATAATCTTACTTACTGAATTCAAACTTATTATGAAAACAAATTAAATTTATATATATATATATATATATATATATATCTAAAACTATATTTTAAATTTACTTCAAACTAATGATATATAAGTATATAGAACATATAAAAAGCTTAGAGTCTAGGAAGAGCGTCTTGATTCAATCAATCAATTCACAAAGCTTCATGGGAGCAGGTGGTCACTGCCAGCTATTAATAACCTTGGAGCTCATGGTGTTTCTGTCTTAAAAGGTTTTAAAGGAATTGTTAAAAATCAATATTTCATTGAAGAAAATGAATGGGATTTTTGTTCTATATTGACTGAAACACCCCTGACATTTAACCAACTGTAGTTACTATCACCATCTCTCGCCTCGGAGCAGGATTGCTGCTGTACAGTTTTCTCCATTGCCTCCAAACCAATATACACTGAGCGGAACGAAGAGAAGAAATTGCCTGCAGTCGTACCTGCTGACATGAGCATTACTCTGCTGTGAGCTTTATGTGCTGGAAGGACGGATGGCAGCCAGAAACATTACATTACTGTTTCATTTGAGCTGACAAAGGCTTGACAATTTCAGTCCAGAGACATATCCTTTGATTATATCCTTTGAGTTCTGCTGTGTTTACATCAGGTGTATATTGCTGTAATTTACAACTGAGTTTGCTGTCTGACAGGTTCTTTGGCCATTTTCTCCTGACGCTGGAAGGTTTTTGATGTTCTCGCTTGACCTCCTGCTATATTTCCTGAGTTTATTTGCGATTCTTTTACCTATAGTTGTTGTTCATTAAAGAGTAAGTAGTGAAGAATTGAAACCTGTGGATCTTTTGAATCCGAATACATTGATCCTGTGCAGTAAACTCAGCAGGGAAGAAAGCAGCGATTCAGACTGAATGATGCATGAACCCGAAGTCTCTTTGCAGCACCGCATGCAGGATATTCTCCTGCTGAGCAACACAGTCCTTCTTCAATATTGCTAATGTCACAAAAATGCAGCGATAAGAGATGAGGATTTTGTGCTGTAACCTTGGCTTAAATCAGAGAGCAGCACTGTCAAAGACACAAAAACACTCCACAGATGCAGCCAGCAGCTCTTGATTGTAGTTTTCAGTGCTTTGGATGTTTGTTCAAGGTTATATTTCTTACCTCTATTTATTAAAATATTTAGCATTCTTTAATAAAAATTATTGGATATTTTCATTAAAAAATGCATCTCCATGAGCATTTCCAAGACCAGTACATTAATATTGATGTATTTTCTTTACTTTTTTTCCCCTGTTAAAGTGTTTTTGGCAAGAAACCAGCGATAAAAATTATTTATGCATATTGTGTCAGTCAAGGTGTGTGAGCCGGCAACAACACACGCCATGAGGGAGAAAGCCGCGGGCGGTGTGAGTGTGGAGAGGAGCTCCACCCCCTGCACCGCGGCTGAGGGTGAGCTGTGTATGTTGCGGCGACTGTGCCACACCGAAGAGGAGAGGGCTCCCGTTGTTAAGTTCTGGCCTGAAAGCCCGGAGGCTCACAAATTCCCATCCTCCCACCCGCTCCTGCCTCCTCCTCTGCTGTCGTCTGGTAGCCCCTCTGCTCGCCCTCAGCCCACCATCTATGTGGTGCAGAGCGTGGCTGGAGTTTCCCTTGACTCCGCCTCCAGCCTCAAAGCCCCGGACTCTGCCTCGGCCCAGAATTACTCATTCTGTGCACCTGTGTTAAGTAATTATCCCTTGTATTTAAGTTCCTGTTTGTTCAGTCTTCCTTTGTGGGGTCTATTTTTTCTACACGTCTTCCTTGTGCTCTTGGACTCCATGTTGGATTATTAAAGACTCCTTGTTTCCTCGTTCCCCGTGCTTCAGCGAATTGTGACAATATGTGTGTGTAAAATTGTTGTTATCATTTATATGTACAGATATATTTATAAATTAATCTAAGAAATTATAATTTTTTTCCTAATATTCAACCATTGACTATATAGCCATTCAACATTACAGTATAATTGAGAGCTATCAATTTGAACATTTATTAGACTTTAAAAAATAAAAACTTCTAATTTAAGTGAACTTAAAACAATCTTCACATAAACCCATTATAATAAATGTTATATTTACTTGCGCCCTTCAGCAAGTAGGAAATATACAGAAATTGAAGAGCGTACGTTTTTACTGACATATGGCCTGACAACATCTCATCTGACTGCAGTCCACTGATGTTCTACTGAAGCTCCTCGATACCTGTATCGTTTCCGTGCTCGTTTGACTCACACCTGGCACTGAGGTGAAGTGGAGTGCGCGTCTGAAAAGTCTCCTGTTTGATGTGGTCATAAAGACGTTCTACATCTAAATAAACGCAATTCATGTCAAGAAAAAAAGAGACAGAAGCAGCCTTTGTGAGTGCGGTGGCCAACCCTAGCTCCGCCCCTGTGTTAACTGCGTTAAATATTTTTAACTCTGTTAAACTGGGAAAATTAATTGCCTGCATTAACGTGCTAATTTTGACAGCACTAATATATATTTATATTAGGGATGCACCGATACCGATACTGGTATCGGTATCGGGCCTGATACTGGTCTCCTGTACTCGTACTCGTTAAAATGCCCCGATACCAAACGCCGATACCACACAGCATGTGATAAGCGCCATATTCAAACAAACAAACACCAACAACAGAACAACAGACAGCAGAATGGAGTTAAGGATGTCTACTACGAAGTATATGTATGCAATGAACAATGTTAAACATTCAGTATTAACGCCTGTATAGCTGATGTGCAGCGAGCTGATAAACAATGCACGCTGAGTGGATTGAGCGCGCGGCGCAGACGTGCGAGCTTATCGAGTGAATATATCTTTCTCACAGACATCACTGGAAAGTTTGTAGTTCGGTCGGATATGTCAAAAACAAGTAAGTAAAACAATGCACAAGTTACTTAACATCTTTGATGTTCACTCACTTAGCACACGCATCATTTGGATTAAAACGAAATCGTAAAAATAAAACCATTTATAGGGGCATTCACTATAAACATCATTTATTTTCAACCTTAGGCAT